CTTCTGTGACACTGGGGACGGTCACAGCCCTGCGGGGATGCGCCTGTGCCCCTTCCTGGCCATCCTGGCACTGGGTACCACCACCGGATTCTGGCATCACAGGGCATCCCACTGCAACAGGTCACAGCGTCCTGGGGGGATGGAGCTGATGTTGCTCTGCACCAGCAGCGGGATGGGAGCAGAGCCAGGCCCGGTGTCCCAGAGCCAAAATCCCTCCAGGAGCTGCCACGTTTCCTTCTGAAAACGCCACATCCCTCCCAGTGCTCCGGCACGCCTCCCTGGGCAGGCCGTGCTGTCCAAAACAGTGGCTGATGCTGTTAATGAGCTTGAGGGTCTTTGCCTGAGATCTCTGCGAGTTGTTTCTTGCTCCATCTCCTGGCAGGAGCAAGCGGAGTCACGGCTGCCCTCAGCATCCTGGGCTGCTCCCCCTCGGAGCGGCGCTAAGAACGGGCTCATCTCGATTCTTGCCGTTTTTCCATAAAGAAAAATTCCCTCTAAGCAGAATTCTTGCCTCCTCCCCTGGCAGGGCGATTCCCCCCCTTCCGGATCCCAAATTCAGCAGAGCTTTCCGAGCTTTTCCCATTCCCCTGCAGCTGTGCCCGGCGTTTTCCCGTTACGGGGGGGACTTGCTCCCAGGTGCGGGAGGAGGCTCCCGACGCCTCCCCGGGGTCTCTCCCCGCTGCCCTGCCCGGGTTTCCAGCGGGCACCGGGAGCTGGCAGCCGGCGGCCGCGATCACCTTGTGGCTCGGAACATTGCAGCCATCCCTCTTCTCCCATCAAGCGTTCATTTAGGAAACATTTCACTAAATACCCACCTGACAGCACGGCCCCGGGAGATTGATGCTTCCAGCGCCTCCGAGGGCTCGGTGCCAGTGACTTTAAAATGTCACAGCGACACCCCCGGGGCGCCCACGTCCCCCCCGGTGCCCGGGGCAGTGGTGGCAGTGTCCGGAGGGCGCCGTGGTGCCAATCCCCCTCCAGCCCCCTCAGGCTGCCAGGAGGTCCCTGGGGTTGTTCTGGGGGATTTGAGAGCACCCAGCACAGGTTTGCACCATCCCCAGACATGGTTTCCTCATCCCTGACAGCTTTCCCACGGCTTTGGGACATCCCCATCCCATCTCCAATTCCATCCCGATCCTATCTCCATTCGCATCCCATCCCTCCCCCTCCCCACTCTCTGAGGAATCCCTATCCCATCCTCATCCCCATTTCATCCCATCCCATTTCCAACCCTGTCCCCATCCTCATCCCACCTCTAGCCCTATCCCTATGTCATCCCCATCCCAATCCTCATTTTATGCTCATCCTCATTCCCATCTCACTCTGTTCTATCCCCATCCCAGCACATCCCAACACTCATCCTCCTCCCATTCTCATCTTCATCCTAATCCCACCCCCTTCCTCATCCCCATCCCCATCTCATCCCATCCTATCCCACCTCATCCCCATCCCATTCCAATCCTCATTCTCATCCCACCCCATCCCATCCCTCAGGGCAGGAAGGAGCCCAGCAGTCTCAGCTGGGCACGGCAGAGCCAGAAGGGCTCCTCAGATCCCCAGCGCTGCCACAGGAGGGATAAACAAGGAGCAGATTAATTAAAGCTCAATCAGTCCCATCCCTGAGCCAGGGCCACTCCAGTCCTTTTCCTTTCCATCCCCTCAAACTCCTGAAAGGAATAAGGACGTGATGTTGGGATGTGAACCCAGAGCGAGGGCCCTTGACAGGAAGATCATTCTGAAGCTGCAAATAAACCACACAACGCCAGGCCTGGATCGAGCTTCTCCAGCCTCATTAGTGGGATCAGCTAATTAGGAAAACAGCTGGCAGTGCTGGGAAAGTGCTGCTGTCTCCAGAGGGACAAAGGGACGGAGGGGAGAGGTGGCACTGACCTACTGGCAAGGCTGGTCTGAGCCCGGGTGAGATAAGGGGGGAATTGTGGAGAACATTCCCAACATCCCAGCGGCCGTGGCTGGGATTTCGGCTGAAATCCCTGGGATGCCGCTGCCGCCTCCCCATCGTCCTAGGAGTGAGCTCTGAGGAAACCCCAGAGCTTGTCCCCGCAGCATCGGGGGGATTGAGCGCCGGGACCGTGGGGCAGAGCAGAGGGAGCCAGCACGGCTCGTCCCAGCCTGCATCCCATGAGGAAGAGAGCAGCGCGGCTGAGCTGGGCTCCGGGAAAGCCCGGGAGCATTCCAGCGGGGATCCCTGATGAACAAAAACCCAGTCAGGCCTTCAAACGCAATTAAGCCAATTAATTTTCCTCCCCCCATCCCCGTTCTGTGCCGCCTGGACACCCCCATCCCCATCCCCGGGAAGCGGCGGCGGCCCCATCCCCAGCCCTGGGGGAGGAGGCTCCGCCGCGTCCCTGCCGCTGCACCGGGAGCTCCGCTGGGACCGGAGGGGAAAAGCCCAGAAATTGGCCCTGTTATTCCAGCTGGGATTTGGGTGGTGACAAATTAATGAGTTTCCACCCCAGGGCCTCTGGAGAATTAACTGGGAGGGAGCTTCGTTAACATCGAGGAGCAAATTGATGTGAAAAAAAAAAAAAAAAAAAAAGATTTTCAATTAGGTTTTGCTTTTTTGGGGGGGTTGTTTCTCCCAAAAAGCCACTTGTTATCATCAGCACTTCCCCCTTCGAGTGCTGGGATCGCAGCCGCAGTGTCTGACTCTGGAGGCTCCCTGTGGGGCACAGATCCACAACCCCATCCCGAGCTCCGTGCGGGGAGGGAATTGTGGCAGAGTTGGAAAAATCCAAAAATCCACCCCCGAGCCACGACTCCCCGGGAGGAGCGACCCTGCCCTGGGAGCCGAGACCCCACAGCGCCGGGAATTGCTCATCCCTGAAATCCCCGCTCCGGAGCGCGGCCGCGCTGGTTTTCTGCTGCGGGAGAGGGGAAATCCTCCCAACTAAAAAACAGCTTAAAGGGGACCCCAGCTGGCTGGAGCCGAGGGCGGCTGCAGCGGCGGCGCTGCGCTCCGGGAAGCCGCGGGGCCGGTCCCGGCTGCGGCTCGGGGGATGGAGCCCACGGGGGCTGGAGCGGCCCGAAAATTCCCGGTGAATCCGGTGAGGCTGAGCGGCCGCTGCAGGAGGCGAGGGGGGCTTGGGGAAGCAGTTGTTGGAGCAGCAGGAATCCTAGTCCAAGATTTTTGGGGTTCTTGCGACAGTGCCAAGATAAGAGGCACGTCTGGAGCTTGTCCAGCTGTGCCTCAGTTTCCCCATCGCTCTGACGCCTCCGTGGTGACCAGTGAGAACCTGGGAGGTGCCAACTGTTCCACTTTTCCCTCTCCCACCCTGTTCCAGCTCTGGGAATCGCGTCCCTCCTCCCCCCAGGCCCTTCCCTCCCACCACGGCACCTCCAAATGTGCGGAGCAGGAGCCTCGGCAGCCTCCCTGTGCCACTGTCCCACTCCACAGATGCCACCCAGGCACAGGGGACACTGTGATCCCCCGTCTCCCAGTGGGTGGGGTCTGCTGGGACAGCCCAGCCCAGGGAAGAAGGACAGCGGGATTTGGGAGGGAAGGTGTGCCCGGTCCTGGGAGCATTCCTTGCTGTGTGCCTGGGCGCAGGGATGTGGCAGGGATGTGGCAGGGATGTCACAGGGATGTCACAGGGACACGGAGGCGGTGTGGACATGGCACGGTGGGGACCTGCTCTGGCTCGGGAGCCCAGCTGTGATTAATCAACGTCCAAGTGAGGAATAAGGTGAAAAATGTGACCAAGGCTGGGGGCAAGCAGGAGGCGGCTGGAAAAGGAGCCAGGGATGGAGGCTTTGCTCCCGGCCCCGCTTCCTGCCTCTTCCACGGCTCATCCCTTCCCTGCCGTGGGAGCAGGAGCTCTGCCCGTGGGGTCCCTCACCCCGCAGCACCCCGGGGACCTCGGGGTGGAGGCTGGCCCAGGGTGGCACATGCGGGGGCTTTGGGGTGGTGGCAGCCTGGTGTGCCAGCTGTGGGGACACAGGGGTGACAGCCGTCCAGGCACGGGATGCCACGTGCAGGGACCTGGGGGTGGCACCTGTCGGGTTCGGGGTGCCACATGCAGATGATGGCCTCTTGGGATGGTGACAGCCCCCGAAGCCTGCAGGGACCCTGGGACGGTGACTGCCCCACGAACGGGGTGCCATGTGCGGGGACCCGGAGGCGGTGGCACCCCGGGCTGCCATGCGCAGGGACCTCGGGGTGACAACTCCCTGGGCATGGCGTGCTGCATGTGGGGACCCCGGGGTGACACCTGCCGGGACAGGGGGTGCCACAGGGACCCCCAGCCCTGCCTGCCGACCCCCAGTCCCCCCCCCCCGACCCCCCCCGCGGTACCAGCGTCTCCCACTCCCCCTCCCTGCGGCCCGGGACGCTGCCCCCTCACTGCCGCACTGCCCCCCCTCGCCGCCCCCCGGGGCAGGCCCCACCTCCCCCCCGCCCCCAGCCCCATTTCCCGGGCGGGACCGTTCAAAACCCGCCCGGCGCCGCCGCTCCCCGGATTCCGCCGCCGCTTCCCGGGGCCGGGGCCGAGGATGCTCCGGCTGCCGGCGGCGGCGGGGGGGCGGCGGGAGCGCGGCGGGGGCTGAGCCGCGGCGGCAGCGAGCCCCGGCCTGCCCGGGACACTTGGCGGGGAGGAAGAAGAGGAGGAGGAGGAGGGAGGAGGAAGACGAAGAGGCCGCCTTCAGCCTCGGCCCCGCCATGCCGGGCCCCACCGGGGAGCGTGGCCCGGTGGCAGCGGCTCCCCGGGGGCTGTGAGCGGCCCGGGGCCGGCGGAAGGGGGGCCCCGGGAGGAGGTGGGGGGGCTCGGGGCGGAGGGGGGGCCCCGAGCGGCATGGCCAGACCCGTCCCCCCCGCCGCCGCCGCTTCCACCGGGATTTAACCGGGGCTTGGATGCTTTCACCTCCCGTTTCCACTTCGGGAGGGCATGTGCGCGGGGGAAGCGGGCCGCCCCCAGCCGAGCCCCCCCGCGCCCTGACTCCGCGGTGAGGGGCTCGGCCGCCAGCCCCGTCCCGCCGCCGGCCCCGGAGGACGGGGAGCGCCCGCCCGCCCCGGCCCCCCCTGGCCGGTGGGTACCGGGCGGGGGGCGGCGGGTACCGGCAACTTGTGTTTAGCGTCCGGCGGTACCGACTGGGGGGAGCCCCCCCTCTACCCGACGAGATTTGGGTTTAAACTTTGGGTTTTGGGGAGCCCCGAAGATGCCTTTCCACCCGGTGACGGCGGCGTTGATGTACCGGGGGATCTACACCGTCCCCAACATCCTCGCCGAGCAGCGCCCCGTGGAGATCCCCGAGGATGAGCTGGAGGGTGAGCGGCTTCGGGGGGCTGCCGGGGGGTCAGGGGGGATGAGGGGGACATCCCGTGGGATCGTGGGGCGAGGCGGTCTGGGGGGACCGGGCAGCGCATCCCGCGGGATGCGGCTGTGGCGGAGCCGGGGCGCGCGTTCCCCGGCGCCGTGGGGAGGCTGA